GGGCCAACACAGAGCGATGAAGAGGAAGAATTATCCGGAAGAATTATTATTATATATATATTTTTTAGCTGAAGTCTCAAGATGAGAATTAATGGAACGGAAGGGACAATGTGCCAAMAAAGAGAGGGCTCGGGGAGGTAAAACGAAGTGGGGGAAAAAAAGAGATATAATGTGATAGATGATGAAAAATGTCACCTCCGTCATTGTCAGTTCCATCACTGCAGTCAGTTTCCATGACAACGCTGCATCCAGGCCCACTCCATCCAGCTTGGCAGATGCAGCGCCAGCCACTCTGCTCSAGAGTACAGCGCCCGTGGCCACTGCACAACCCCGGGCAGCCGTCTGATGTCCCGCAAGCACACACATACACACATATTTGGGTCATTTATCAGAATATTTGGAGGTTAAAAACATACAACTGAAGTCCTCAAGAAAAATAAATTACCTTTCACTACAACGTCCAAGTCATGAGTAACTGGGGGAAGAAAAAAGAACAGTTGGTGTGAAATTGAAACTGGTCAAACAAAGCCACACTTCTTTATGAGGATTTATCCTAAACACACCTAACTAACTATCACAGGAGACAAATAAACACTCCCACGTGCAGCTGCACCTGACTCACCGATGTTACAGTGCTCCCCCTCCCAGCCGGGTTGGCAGATGCAGGTCCCGTCGTGGCACTGGCCGTGCTCCTCGCAGCGAGGGTGGCACGCTCTCTGGTCGCACGCGGCGCCGATCCAGCCCTCCTCGCACTGGCACTGGCCCTCTGAGCAAACGCCATGGCTGCCACATGGCACCAGGCACAGCTCTGTTGAACAGGTGGGTGGAGACACGCGAGGGGGGGGGAGAGAGAAAAGAAAAGCGTGTAAGTGTGAGAGGACGAGAAGCATGAGAGGGAGGGGAACAGATGGAGCAAGCAAGTGCCGCAAGGAAAAACTATGTTAAAAGAGGCACAGGGGACAYGAGGGGAAAAGAAAAAAATAAGTTTACAGAATCAGAACTGGGGGCGAGCCATTGAACATAGGTGGGAGAGTAGAGGGAGAGAAAAAAAAAACGAGCGATCGAGTGGGATAACYTCAGAGATGAAAAAAAATCAACTTTCTCACAATACACAATCTTCTCACCTCTAATAGCTCAGCTCCCTTAAGAAGAAGACGAGTGAATCGACTCAGAATAAAAGCCAAATGATTGGTATTTGCAACACATTTTAAACTACTGGGACTGCAGTTCAGCTCTTGTATGCTGTACTGACATTTTGATCAGATTTGGTTTGTATGTTAATAACTTTTCTTTTACATCTCTCCTTATTGTTTGTGTCAGCTCTCTCCTCCCTGCTTCTTTTTTCCTGTCCTCTCGTTTCTAACATCCCTTTAAATCCTTTCCTCTTTCGCTTGTATTTTTCCCTTTCTCCCTGCACCCCTCACCATCCGACTCTCACTCGCTCTGCAGAGGCAAAGCCTCATCTATCAGTAAAGAGAGCAAAGTGCTGGAGGCACACGGAGCCTACTTATCCAGCCGCAGTAAAAAGTTATTTCAATTTAAATTTACATAGCATGGAGAGGTAGTAAAAAAAGTAGATTCGACTTGGAGAGTTTTTCAGCTCTCTATTAGAATTACATTAGCTTAGCTGTGCCTCAACAAGACCGGGACAAAGACTCGCTGGGTCTTTTTGATTAAAAGGCCAGCAGCTAGAAGGGAGGAGGCTCATTTCTCAGATATTCAACCACGGTTCATCATAATCATGAGCTGTATCCCCATAATGACGGAAAGCATACACCTGAAAAGTGGTCCTGCAAATCTTTGGTGTTCATGGTGAAATGGGGTCTTCACAAGTGCAGCAAAAGCTATAAAAGGAAGAAGAAGAAAAAGCCACTTTCATAATGGCTATTTTCCTCTTTCAGCTCTGACTGCAAGGACAAGGACAGAGTGCTGCTTTGGACAAACAGTCCACACTCTTTCCATCCCAGGGTTTTACGCAGCATGAAGTATACTATAAATGATCTGGTCTTACCAGGTTCTATAATGATTAGAATCTAATCTCAAGTGTACAAAAACACTCAACAGGTTTTCTCATGTTGCTGTTTATTAAAGAAAAGCAAAGCCAAAACGGAAATGCTGCTTTTGAAATACTAAGTACAGTCTGTTTGTTTCTGTATCAAGTGAGAAAGTTGCATCTGAATGAACCACAAGACCTCCAGAACAATGGGCTTCATGTAAGAACCGTTCGTACGCACAGATTTGTTCTTAAGTTGTGYGTACGAGTGATTTAGGAGAATTTGTGGCATTCACCAATGTTTTCATATTCTAAGATTTTTTTCAGATACGAACAAAATTCACGAGTGGTCCAGACCTGTCGTATATTTTACGAGCAGTCAGTCTGCTGTTATCTGCCTGATATCTGAGGTAGGAAACTAAATTTATATGGTGTTTTTGGGGTGGTAATTATGCTAATCTCCTCTCGYGTGCACAAGCCGCTGGATACGAACAGGTGGAATGTATGCAGCTCATTTACACACTTTTCCTGAAGATAGAAGAGTTTGTTGAATCTGACGTGACATGTTCGTACGAACCCTTTGTACGAACAAAAGTAAGAGAAATTTAGGATAAGAATACGAACATGTTCTTGCATGAGGCCCATTGTCCTTTGGACGGATGAGACAAAAGTCGTCATGTTTATTAATAATGAACGGCACAACGTTTGGAAAATAACAAACACGGTATTTCAGCACTAACACCTCATTGCATTCAGTAAGCAGGGTTGTGTAGTGTGGATTTTAAATTTGCTTTGCAGCCACTGGACCTGAGCATCTTACAGTCACTGAGTTGACCAAGACCTCCTCTGTACATTAGGGTTGGGCATAATCGTATTGTGTGCAATTAATCGTCAGAAAAACAATCAATTATTTTTTGTCACTTGACGATTAATACAATTAATGCCACCTGGTAGAGTTTGCTCAGTGCTCCTCTCCACTTCAAATATGATGAACATTAAAAACAAAAGTTCTGTAATTTATTTATCTATTAACACAATTTAAAATTGGATGTATAGCCTGAAACCTGTAACTTGGACAATTTGGGACAGTTTTTTATGAAGAGCAAATCTTTTCCCACTAAATTGGTCATGTGACTAGGACATAAGTGTGTCTACGGACTCCAGGGGATTAATCGTCAAATTAATTGTTATCGACTAAATACCACAATTAATCATGATTTTTTTGTCAATATTGCCCAACCCTACTGTACATCAAAGACTTCTGGAGTCAAATGCAATGGTTTTAGTAACTAAGTGCATTTACTTTATTACAGAACTAAAGCAAATCCTTTGAGTATTTGTAATTTTACTAAGTATTCTTTTTAATTGAACTTTTTATTTTATTTTGTTACATTCAAAACCTAAAAAATAATACTTTTATGTTAATATTATTTTATTTACCATTATTTAATCAGGCAAATCTCATCCAAATCTCAGATCTCTTCTGCAAGTGCACCTGAAGGAAGCCATGTTTTTGGCCTCTGGGGGGAAACCGGTAGCCTGGCCCTTGCCTTCCGACGCAACTCAGCTCAATTCTAGTTTCCCTTCACTGCTCCGTCTGGGATTTCTCCCACTGAGATGGATTTCTTAGGGAGAATTTTCGTCTGGGCCAATCAGAGAACAGAATGTTGATTTTCTGCACAGTGTCTGCTTGTAGTTTATTTTACCTGGGCCAATCAGCAAACAGAAGGCGGAGTTTTGAATGACGTCAATTTTCTTCGCAGTGTCTGCTAGTTAGTTAGCATACRGCAGTRGAGGAAGTGAATGAAGCCACTGTGTTGATAAGGSTTCCAAATTAAATTAAATTTGTCTGACAAAGCAGCAGCTCTCATTTACAGTCGTCTCTTCCGGCTCGGTACTTCTCTCCTCTCAGTAGGGTTGTTTACAGCGCACGCAATTTCCGGTTAGCTTCTTAGCTTAGCCTCCTTCRCACCGACAATCACCAACCGATYCAATCATTTTGAACTTCAACAGAGGCCACGCCTCCAGCAAGAATTGCTTCTCTATAGCCAAGAGTCCAGACCCTCGTACAAAGCAACGCGAAGAACAAGAGTCTGGTTTTAACCAGGCTAGGAAACCAAAGTAACTGGAGAAAATTCACGCAAGCATGATTAGGACATGCAAGCTCTGCACAAGTTCAARCAGGGGATCAAACCAAGAACCTTCTTGCTGTGAAAGATTGAAGTTATCCACTGAGCCGTCATGCTGCCATTTTAAAATTTAAAGCAGAGTAACACATTACAGGTTTAAATATGACCGGAACACAACACTTTTTAGAGATGTTTTGATATTACTTAACCAAACTGGTTCCACTAAGCCTAGTTGGGTAAGTGTAAAGAGCTTACAAATCATCTTTGTGTGAATTAATCAATTTACTCAACTCAATCAGGGATGAAGTTTCACAATGAAAGAGAAACGCTTTGTTTTAAATAAAATTAGATATGTTTTTGAAGTCCTGTAATTTTTAGATTACAACTCAGTAAGTACTCTGTATCCGTACTCGATCTTGCTGAGCACCCAGACTGAAGTATTTGTTTTTGTAATCGGTTTGAGAAAAAACTGGTATCAGGACAACCCTAATAAATAATATTATGGGAGAAACTGTTGCATAATTTTTGACACTTCAGATTAGATTTAAAAAGATTCTGACCTTGGAAAATAATTTATTTTTAACATGTAAAACTGTAGAATTAAAACAAAATGGACATACTTAAAAATATAATTAAATAAATTATATTTAATTAGGCGTGATTAGGTCTGATAATGGATTTTTCTCTTTCTTTCAGCACTCACTGCACAGACAAGGACATGATGCTGCATATATTTCAGACATTTTGCCACAATGGCTACCTTTGGGCTTTTCCCCCATAACCAACAGAGGGGTGATTTTGTCTCACCAGGCAGAATGCAAAAGTAGAAGTTTGGTCTAGCTGTACAACAGCTTTTATAGCTAAATTTAACAGCTACTAATATTCAGGTAAAAAGACCTACGAGAGACATCAGCAAGCTTTTAAATGTCAAACTGAGAGTTTCTAGGAGCTACAGAATCGAACATAACTTGCAGCAATGTTTCAAATAAAAGCTATTTTTCCTCGTATTTAGCTGAAGAAAAATGTGTCCAAATGATGGTGTGTAAATGTGCTTGTGACCATACAGTGTGTGTGTGTGTGTGTGTGTGTGTGTGTGTGTGTGTGTGTGTGTGTG